TTTGTGAAAAGTAGGAGTATCTTTGACAATATTCTGCTTGCTCAAGAAATTATGCATGATATCAATGCTAAAGTTAAAGGTGGGAATATTATTTTTAAATTGGACATTACTAAGGCCTACGATAACTTGTGTTGGAATTTTTTATACAAAGTGCTTTCTTTATTTGATTTTAGTCATGATTTTATTTCTTTGATTAAAAACAGTATTGAGCATTGTTTCTTTTTTATTATTATTAATGGTAGGAGTAATGTTTTTTTTAAATCTAACCAAGGCTTACATCAAGGTGATCCTTTATCCCCTGCTTTGTTCATTATTGCGGTTGACTATTTGTCCAGGGGCTTAGAGGAACTTTATAAAAGGCATCCTAAGCTTTTTTATCGTATTATGGGTGGTATCCCCATTACTCTCCTTAGTTTTACTGATGATTTTATCATTTTCACTAATAATACTTTGAATAATATTAAATTTCTGGTTAAGCACTTAAATGAAGAATATGAGTGGGCTCTCGATTAACAAGAACAAAAGCAATTTTATTATTTTGAATTCTGCTAATCAAGGGTTAATCAATGATATCAAAAGGATATGTGAATTTAATTGCTCTTCTTTGCCTATTAAGTACTTGGGTATCCCTATTTTTAAGGGGAGGAAAAAAAGTTTGATTTTAGAGGATATGTTCATGGTTTTTCAAAGCAAAATTGCCAATTGGTCTTCTAATTTTCTATCTTTTGGTGGTAGACTTGTGCTTATTAAACATGTTTTAAACTCTATCCCTATTTTTATTTTTCACACTCTTAATCTTGCTCCTTCAATTTTTCTTAGATTGGAAAGAATGATAAATAAATTTTTTTGGGGGGCTAAGATCAACAGTTCATGTATTTTTTGTTCTTCTTGGTATAAGATGTGTGGGCCTTTAAATGAAGGTGGTTTAGGTTGTAAGAATACTTTGGACATGGTTAGGGCTTTTTCTTATAAGTTATGGTTCTCTTTTAGAACTAAAATCAGTTTATGGGCTCAATTCATGCATGTTAAGTATTGCAAAGAGGTGCATCCTACTTTATGCAATTTCAAAAAAAATGGACTCTTTTGTTTGGAAACGTTTATGCAATATTAGCTGGGAAGCCGATAAATTTATCCAATGGGGCTTGGGTAAAGGTGATGTCTTTTTCTAGAAAGACAATTGGTTAGGTAAGGGCTCTATTGATAGTATGCTTTATTCTCATACTTTAATTTTGACTAAGGTCCACAAATACATTGAGAACGGTAATTGGAATATCAATAAGCTTAGTGATATTTTACCTGATGAGATTTTGAATCAAGTTTTGAGCATTCCTTTACATATTACTGATAATGACCGTATCCTTTTTAACAGTTCTACTAATGGCCTTTTTAAAATTAAAAATGTGTGGGATATGTATAGAATTAAGAATGAAAGTTCTATTATTTATGGTTCTATTTGGCACAACAATATTCCTATGTCTTACTCTATTCTTGCTTGGAGATGTATTAAAGGTTATCTGCCGGTGGATTCTCATCTTTGGAAGAAAAGTTTTTATCTTCCCTCTAAATGCCATTGTTGTTTTAATATTGAGAGCATTAATTATGTTTTTCTCAATGGTAATATTGCTCAAAAAGTTTAGAGGTATTATGCCATGTTTGTTAACAAACCTTATTCTGTGTCTGTTAGTGATGTTCGGTCTTTTTTGAATGAGTGGGTGACTTCTTCTAAAGGTCATGTTCTTAATTTGTTACCTATTCTTGTTTTGTGGTTTCTTTGAAAGGCACAGAATGAAGCTAAACATAATGGTGTTAAAATGGATGCCAATAGTATTATTTCTTATATTAATAACAAATTGCTTCAACTGGTTGCTGTTAAACTTATTTCTAGTAAGAATTTCAAGAATTGTTAAGTTTTGGGTGTTAAACTTGGTATTCCTATCTATGTTGAGGATTTGGTTAGAAGTGAAAGGGTTGTCAGGTGGTTTAAACCTATGCCTCCTTCTTTGAAACTTAACAATAATGGTTCTGTTGGTATTTCGGTTGTGAGTTTTGGGGGTATTATTCGTGACAGCTTTGACCAAGTGATTGTGGTTTATGCGAGCCCTTTATCTCCGTGTAAGGTCATTTTTGCTGAGCTGATGGGTTTACTTAAAGGTCTTTATATTTGTAACAATAGTGGTTTTGTTAACATTGAGATTGAGGTGGATGCATTACTCTTAATTCAAATTATTAAAAATGAGGATGCTTTTTGTCCTCAGTTCTTTTATATTATTAGGAAAATTTGTACGACCCTCTCTATTCTCGATTATACGATAAAGCATGTTTTTAGGGAGGGTAATGCTTGTGCTGATTGCCTGGCCAAGCTTGGTAGTAGGTTGGAGGAGGATATGGAATTTGGTATTGATAATTTGCCTCACATTTTGAAGGGGTTGGTTAAACTGGACAAAATTGGTTTGCTTTATATCAGATATGGCTGATCCTTTTGCTGGTGGTGCTAGTTGCTGTGTTTTTTCTGATGTGCTGTGTTGTCAGCTGTGTTCTCTGGGCTGTTTTTGTTCTTTTGAGTTTTATTTCTGGGCGGTGGCAGTTTTATATATATACCTGGCTTAGTTTTTTTGGGAACTCTTGGAAGAATTTTAACACTGGTATAGATTTTAAATTACCTGCTGTTTTATGTTTAGTTTCGACTATATGTTGTTGGATGCTGGACGTTGTCCTTATCATTTTGTATTTGTTGAGCTGGTTTTTGGCTGCTGTTATGATTTCCTACAAGGTATGGTTTATTAGTTCTAGATGTCGTCTCACTGGTGTTTTGTTTCTGCTTTGGTTAATGTGGGAGGTCATTGAGTGGAATTCATATCTCCGGCAAGTGCTGGGTATTTTTTTGCTTCTGCTTATTCCTTATATTAGTTTTGGAGTTATCTGGACTTATGATAATGATTCGAATTTTCTTTTCTGTAAGAATGGGATATATATGAGGAATAGTTTTCTTGGTATGGTGAATATGAGGAAGGAGATTTATTAGGTGATCACTTTGGATGGTTGGAGTATGTTGGCTCTGATTTATGCTAATAGTGACAGATGTTACAACAGGCATAATAGTGGTTGTTTTTACTGTTTTATTTTCTCTATGTCTAACATTTCTTTTTGGAGAATTCCTTGCAGGGAAAATTTATCTTTTTAGTTATGGAGCTTCAATGATCGCAAGGTATTTTAGCTTGTTTTTGTTTTTTCAATGCTACTTCAATTTTCTTCAACATTTTTGCAGGAAGAAGGTGCTGAACGGGATTAATCTGTTCTTTCTTTTTTGGGTGTTGTCTACTCACAGCCCGAGACTTTATTTATGTCTTTTTTGTAATATTAGGAAAAGGAACCACCGGCTCTTAGGTTTCATTTCTATTTTTCTTGTATATCTTTTGAGTATTAGCGAGCTGGAGGATCCTTCTAAGGATTTTGTAACTGATTTTTGGATATTAACGCGTAGGTCCCACAGTGGATTTTAATAAAAAAAAAAGTAATAAGTTCTAGCTTATACGATATTTTTTTCAGAAATCAGTAATCACTAATTGTTGGCTTAGTAAATAGAATTGTCATTATTTCCCATAAGTACAATTATTAACTTCTTATAACTCCCGATTAGCGAATTGCTTGAATCAATAGAGGATAACACCAAACGATAATATTTAAAGAAAAGCTCATCATCAACCCACCATCCTGTATAAATATAAATCAGTCTTCGGCCAACATTAGTAAATCACCAACATTTACTTGTTTTCACACATATATTACTACAATACTATAAAAGTAATAACAACCAGTTATTACACAATCGCATGTTAATATTCAAGTATAATACTTGCATTAATAATAAAATCATATTAAAATGTCAAAATCACTATTATGTGTAATTCATACAAAATGCAATTACTACAGTTTTAACCGGTGAAATTTGAAAACCAACCAGTGAAAATGTAAAGAATAATCAATACTGTAATATACAAAATGTTATGTTGTAGAAGTTCATTAAATTCGAAGATATTGCAATAAAATCAATTTTGTAGAAAATCAAACAGTTGAAATCAAAGTCTTTAAAAACATAGAAGTAAGATAAAAATCACCTCTAGTGATCTGATAAATTTTTGTAAAAGCGATGAAATGGATCGGCGGCCAGAATCCCAACTCTCTTTCCTCTGTCCTCCTTCCCTTCTCGTTCTTCTTCCTTTACTTCCATGGCAAGCCAGCGAGAGAGTGAGAGAGGGTGGGTAAGTGAAGAGAAAATATATATAAAAAAAAAAATCATTTAACTGTTTAACACTGTGACTTCATTGACCCATTGTCGCTATGCTACATTATGAATCAAGAATACTGTAGAATATATCTTTTAGTGTCGCTACAACAACTTATGGCCCCGCCGTGCTCACAAGTATAAGACAACTACACTAGAAGGCACAACACCGCTACGCTCTAGGTTAGATAGAAATTCAGATTTTTATTTTAAAATTATCTTCAGAAATGTCGTATTATTACACTCATACACGAGCAAATCCTAAGATAGGTGACCTTCTGAAAAGTTACAACAAGAAGACCAGATTTCAAGGCCATTAAGCCAAAATAGATAATATATTGATATTTAAGAGTTTGATCTATTATAAACCTGATGGTTTGTCTTACCTATGTTAGCCTAAACTATTGGCAATGATCATGTGATGCTTGTTTCGTGGAAAAAAATGCCTTCAATGTCTTAAATTGATAAGCCATAATGACAATCACATAAGTACATCTTCAAGGAAAAAAGAAAAAAAATCAATTTTCAGCAGCTATGAGCTAGAATAATTTTGAGAAAATTTATTACATTTTAGTTGGGCTCATCATAAAACTTAAACATACAGCCTAACTTTAAGATAAATAATTCATAAAATCATAGATTATCATAGACAACCGCTTCAAGATGTGTAACTTTTCTTAAATAAATTATAAAATATATAACAAATTTATTAGCACAATCATAAATATACAAAGGTATACATGGATTGCTTCATTGACTCACCATGCCTTTGATATTTGCTATACCTTCTCTCTTCAACTAAATTCATCTCAACATCTTCATATTAAAGGAAAAAAGTATTTAATGATCCCACAAAACATAGAGTTAATTAAGAAAAAAAATCAAATGAATCCAAAGCAAAATCACATAACCCCAGAGCAACAAAAGATGGCATCTTTCTGCAACAATCAGTTCAAGAGTAAGGCTTTGGAAGAGGTAAATCGAGAACGGCGCCGCACCGCAGTGCATTCTCCGGCATGTTATACTCGTCTCTAAGAGATCGCTCTGGAGACAGAACACTGATGTACAGCTGCTGGCCGAGGTAACGGCGGTCCCAAATCTCAGACCGAAGGTTCCACATGCCAGCGTTATCGAATGTGAGCATGATCGCCGTCCAGGACTTGGGGTAAACCTGAATTGTATGTCGGCTCACGGAGTCGAGCAGGTTGTAAGTGCTCCGACTCTCCGGCGTCCATTTTCCTGGCCCCATTCCCGTCGGAAAGAAGGAGTAGCCGTCGAGATGGTAAGACTGAATACTAGTCTCAGGATTCTCAAATATGATTTCAATGAACGTTCTGAACTCAGCTGTTATGACATTAGGAACTAACTTCACCGGAGTACCGGGAGAAGTTGGGTCGTCAGTGATCTGGTTGTATTCCGGCACGCTGCCGTTCACTCCGAAGTACTCTGCGAGCTTAAGCGGCAGCTCAGAGTCGCGGTGAGAAACCCCGTTGAGAGCAAAACGGAGCTTTCCGTCGACGATGGATGTCGAGCTGGAGAGCTTTATGGTGCGGGTGATGTTAATTTGGCCGTAATGGTAGGATCCCTGGGGGTTGGGCCGAGCCGCGCTTGCGGTGAGATTCCACCTAAAGGAACGCCATTGGTTGAGCGACCAGGCCCAGCTGATGGGCGCCGGTGGGAGCTCGGCGGCTGCTGGGAGGTTGCTGCCGCTGTAATGGATAATCGCGGTGGCTAATTGAATCGTCTTCTGGAAGCGGGTGGAGGCGACGAGGTAATAATCGCGGGGAGGTTGGTCGGCGGTGACCAGAACAGAGTAGCATTGCCCGGCGTGGACATCGAGGTTATCGTACACGTTCTGCATCGTGTGGCTGCCGTCCACCTCGACCAATTTCAGCTTATGGCCTTGGATGCGAAGGTTAAGAGAAGCCTTCAGGCCGACGTTGCAAACGCGAAAGCGATAAACTTTACCGGCTTCGAAGGTGAAGGCAGGAGACTCGCCGGAGTTTTGAGCGCCGTTGATGAGAACGGCGCGAGCTCGGCTGAGGCGGCGGCTAGAGTCGAGAATGCGGGTTAGAGTTTTGTGGCTTAGGCCGTACCAATCGGAGACGAGGACGTCGAATTCGTCAGCCGGGGGGTCGAATGGGACGGGGATGAGGAGGCGGCTGTGGACGCGGATGAGACCGTAGCCGCCGGCGGCTTTGTGCATGCCGATGGAAGGGAAGTAGAAAAAGGTGCCGATTTGATCTTTGGGTTGCCAGTGATATGTGAAATTCTGGCCTGGGGGGATGGGGCAGTTGGTTCCCGGCATGCCGTCCTGCCATGAGTTCTTACGGTGCTGGATGCCATTCCAGGAAAGAAGGAAGGGTTCGTCTAAGTTGTTCAAGACATTGATGACGATATTGTTATTGCTGGTGCAATTGATGACAGGGCCGGGGAATTGGCCGTTGATCATGATGGCTTGGTATGGGACCCCCATGGGGGAGATGATGCCGTACGTGACATTCCAGGTGAAGAAAAGGTAGGGGTCTTCGGCATTGGAGAGAGCAAAGAAGGAGAGGAGGAGAGCGAGGACCGTCGCCGCTCTCGACATCTTTATAAGCTGATCAAAATCCCTTCTTTGATTGATGCAATTGGGAAGAATGGAAGGAGGAGGGAGAGGGATGGAGTTTAGCGGGGAGACATGGAAGATCCCGGGGCTAGCAATATGTGAATTTGTGAGGCTAGCTTGGGAGATCGAAAGGGTCGACCGGGGAGCTTCGAGATGGAGAGGGGAGGGGAGGGGAGGTTATATAGTTGGGATGGGAGGGATTGAGGTGTTTTGCTATATTTGGTGCCCGGAGGGTGCGGGAGTTGCGGAGCTAACTATTAGCATCGGCATGATCTTGGTTTGATTTTACGGGTAATAATTAGCGCCGACCTGTTATTTTATTTCTAGTGGTTATTTTGTGTGTTGTGCTCACTCTATAATGGGAATGACTAATTTATTTTTTTGCTGTGGTTTTTCCTTGCACGCCGTTTGAAAACTTGTTTTCATATTAGGAGCTTCTTACGACTATTCATTCTTAATATGTCCTAAAAAAAATTATCTTATTCGGTACAGATCTCGAAGCAAAAATCAAGTTGGAAACTTCAAAAATTAAATTCGGGATCACCAGAACTCAGATTTCAGCAAACTTACAATCAAACTGAGCATGTCGGAAATACAAACCCATCGATATCAAATTCAACTCAATCCGAGCCCAAATGAGTCTAAATCAAGAACCTGAAGCATTGTTGGAAAGTTTGTACCACAATTTGAGTTACCAAACGATCTCCAAATTTGATGAGCTTATGGTTGAATCGAGCGGATTGACGAGATGAATCCAACGAGCCCAAGATCGCCGGATTCGAAAGTCATTAAGACCTTCAAATGCCTGATAAACGATCTACGAAGAAGGATTCAATATCGTCCGTTCATCTGAACCGCTCCATATTTGCCCCTGATCTCTCATCTATTTACGGGACATGCCACTCCAGAAAATTTATAAATAGATCCCTTATTTCTCTTGAGAGGGGACTGGAGCAAAAAGAAGGAGCAGAGAAGAGAAGAAGATTAGGAGGGAAGAGCTCCTTGACCACCGACGCCGGAATTCTATCCGAACGACGCCGGAATTCTGCCCGACCTCCAAGTGATGACGGAATTAATCCCGACGTCCAAGTGGCACCGGAATTCCGTCTGACTTCCAAGGGACGTCGGAATTCCACCCGGCCTCCAAGTGACGCCGGGGTTTCCCCTCAACTCCAACTGACGTCGGAGTTCTGCCCGAATACCATCTAACGCCATAGTTCTCCTCGGCCGCCAACTGATGTTGGACTTTTACCCGACTTCGGACCTCCACTCGTCGCCAAGTTTCTACCCGACGCCAGACTTCTACCTGATGTCGGATTTTCACCAAACATATATCTGATGTTGGATTTCCGTCCATTGCTGGATTTAACCTGACATAGTCCTTCCGACCTCTGTCGCGAGACAATGGTCCTTCCGACCTCCATCGCCAGCCGACTACAGTCCTTCTGAGTTACGTCTCACACCAACTACAGTCCTTCCGACCTCCTTCGCCAGTTGACTTTAGTCCTCCTAGCTTACGTTGCCTACTGACTACAGTCGTTCCAACAAAGCGAACACATCAACATTGACTCTTTGTATTCCCAACATGTAATGTACTTCATATAATGTACATCAAGCCCAGGTCTTACCCGTAAGGAAGGACCTCATTTGTAATCGACCGCAAATACTAGTGGATTCATTCAAACTATGCAAGGCCCTGTGGTTTTTCCCCCTTTTCAGGGGTTTCCAAATAAAAACTCTAGTGTCTCTTATGAACGCTACACCCTCTCTCTTATCTGCTTGTGTGCTTGATCTTCGTACAACGCTAAGTCGTTAAACTATATATATTTCTCTACCATTGCGAATACTCCAGGACGCAACAACTCTAATAATATCTAGTATAAAACTAACTAGAAATTTTCTTTTTTGGGTGTATATATTACTTCTTATTGCACCTAGCAAAAAAGAAATAATTGCATCTTTAGAAGTGTTGCTCTTAATTACCATGTTATTATTGTGAAAATTAAATTTTCCGTTCGTATAAAGAACAAGAGATGAAGTTTACAATCAACCTTGCTATCAAATTTGGTTAACACGTACTACTAGCCTATTCCTCTTATATTGAGTTTTAACTGGCTAATTGCTATTTTCCTTGTTGTGGTCTATCTTTGGACATATTATATGACCATCTAGTATAATTGTTTTTCAGTTTTCCAGTTGTTCGTGGTGGTTATTGTACTATGAACCGGGTATTATGTGGATTTATTTTCAAATTATTATTGGTTGTTCCGATGGTTGATTATTCTAATTAAGTGGAGATATGATGCAGAGAATTATAGTAACAAGCTTATCTCTTTGACGTTCCCCACTACAACTTTTGCTATGCTATATAACAACCTTTGCCATCACCACTAACATTTAGTTTTTTTAGTTATTATAGTACAAAAGGAATATGATGAACTTTATTAACATTTTAACATGATTTATAGCAGCATATATAAGCTGTAGATTCGGCTTTGTTGAAGAGAGAAAAAATAGAACTCTGGTTTTATAACTTGGAAGCAAAACTTCCTAGCATTTGGCTTGCTTGCTTGTTTTCTCTGTACAGGTTCTCCGGTGACTACCACGTCAGGTTTGGTATTAGAGCTAGACGCTCGCGAGACATGGAAGAGGGCAACAGACATGCGGGGAATGACAAAGACTGAAGCATCGCGGCCTTGTGGGCTGAACATTTGAGCTTGGCGCATTAGTTCTCCGATTGGGTATTGGAGTTTCACCTGTTCTTCAAAGAGGTGCGTCAGAACTTTTAGCTCCTCAAAACTGGTCCTAATTTACTACAGTCACCCCATGCATTACACACCATCGCACCACCAGCAGCGAGGCAGGAACAATTCTTCAGTAGGGTCAGGCGATAAATCCCAGCCTGAGGAGCAGTACTATCCGATTCAAAAGACGAAGAAGGAATTCATAACTTTGGAATTGAGATTGATTCTGATATTGAAGAAAGCATTGGGGATATACACCGACGATGGCGATTTGCTTAGAATGAACCACACCAACATGATTTCAGTGTAAAAATGGACGTTCCATTTTTTAAAGGCAAACTACACATCAAAGATTACTTGGATTGAGAGAGAGCGGTCGAAACATTTTTTGAGTATTTGGAGATCGCACCAGAAAAATAAGTCAAGTATGTAATCTGCAGATTGAAAGGAGGTGTTGTTGCTTGGTGACAACAAGTTCTCCAAACCAGGCAGCGGGAAGGAAGAAAAAAGGATCGAAGATGGATATGCATGAAACAATTATTTCATGCACACTTTCTACCGACATATTGAGAGCACATGCTCTACTTGCAATACCAATGTTGTGTTCAAGGATCGAGAACAGAGAATGAGTATACAAAAGAGTTTTATCGACTGAGCGCTAGAAACAATCTCAACGAGAATGAGAATCAGTTGGTTGCCCGATACATCAGTGGACTCAAAGAACCAATCAGCACAAGCTAGAGTTAAGCTCAATTTGGTCCCTATATTAAGACGTCAACTATGCTATGAAATTAGAAACCCACCACGGCAGACATTCTCGTACCTCCACCACTAGGCGACAACCTTCAGATTATAAATCCATAATTCAAGAAGCCACTCATTCAGGGTGCTACACCAAACTAATGCATCTCTAAACCTCAAGCCCAACACACATGTAAGTAATTCTCATGACCCAAATGTTCCACAGAAGTTAAGAGGAACAATAAGAGATAATCCATATTCTAAGCCAACTAATCTAAAATGCTTTCGAAGCTTTCAACTGGGACACCGTTCCAATAAATGTCCTAGTCAGACACAATTACAATTACTTAACATAGAAGGAGGAGAAACAGTCATGGAGGAAGAGACCTTGCAAATACTAGAGGAAGAAGACTTAGTGGCTGATGTTGGCCATCCACTTATTTTTGTTCTACAGAAACTTCTCTTAGTGCCACATACTCCAGTAAATTCTCAATACAATGCCATTTTTTAAAAAAGTTTCACAATAAATGAAAAGATTTGTGATCTTCTAATAGATAGTGGGTGTACCAAAAACATAATATCACGATACATTGTTAAAGCATTATAGTTAAAAACAACAGAGAACCCTCATCCTTATAAAATTAACTGGGTAAAATGTGGAATGGAAATCACTGTGACTAAGGTGTGTAGAGTGACATTCTCCATTGGAAAATAGTATGTATGCAAAATATTGTGTTATGTGCCGGATATGGATGTATTCCATGTAAACTTGGGAAGACCTTGGAGGTTTAATGTGGGTGTTGTATATGATTGTAGATCAAATGTTTACTCATTTGAATGGAAAGGTAGAAGACTACAATTGATACCAAATGCTGTCGAAGATAAAACAGAAGTTGCCAAGGGCAAGGCCATCATGCACATTGTATCAGGTACTCAGTTCATGGGGTCCAAAGAAGACCACTCCCAAGCATTGGTCGTACTCCTACATGAAAGAAATAATTCCCTTAAGCCCAATTCATCCATTCCAACCGAAATTCAATCTCTGTTACAGTACTTCAATGATATTGGGATGAACGCTTTGCCATCTAAATTACCACCTTTGTGTATTATACAACATCAGATAGATTTTGTACCTGGAGCTACACTACCTAATAATCCACACTGCCGGATGAGCCCAACCGAGCATGCTTTGCTTTAAGAGATCATTGACAAGTTATTGACCAAGAAATTTATTCAACTGAGCATTAGTCTATGTGCAGTACCAACTATAGTTGTTCCCAAGAAGGATGGATCTTGGCGCATGTGTGTTGATAGTCGAGCTATCAACAAGAAAAATACAAAGTATCAGTTTCCAATGTCGTAGGTGGACGAACTGTTGGAAAAATTATCAGGTTCTACTATTTTTTGCAAATTAAATCAGCGTAGCAGATACCATAAAATTCAGATACAACTAGGAGATTAATGGAAGACGTCATTTAAAATCAAACAAGGTTTGTATAAATGGAAGGTATTACCATTTGGGCTGTGTAACTCACTAGCTACATTCATGCGTCTCATGAATGAAATTCTAAAGCAATTTTAGGAAAATTCTACGTTGCATAGTTTGACGATATTCTCGTATATAGCCTCTCTTTGGAATATCATATTCAACACCTAATAGATCTTTTTAATACCTTCTAGTTTCACAAATTATACCTGAATATTGCCAAGTGTGAGTTCGCAACCTCTCAGGTTTGCGTCCTTGGCTTCATTATAGTACTAGTGGAGTATATGTAGACCCAAGAAAAATTGATATAATTATAAATTAGCTACAACCAACAACTTTTTGGGAACTTAGTAGCTTTCTGGGGATAACAAACTTTTACAAGAAATTCATTCGGAGATTCAGCCTTATTGCCGCACCAGTTACAGATGACCTCAAGAACAAACAATTTCAATGGTTTGAAGATAAGCAATGAATATTTGAGTCCCTCAATTTTTCCTTAAGTTTGGCACCAAATTTAGCTCTTTCAAATTTTGATAAGGCATTCCAGCTGGAAACTGATGCTTTACCAGTGGGCATTGGAGGAATTCCGTCATAAGACAATAAACCTGACTAGTTTTTTAGTGAGTAGTTATGTGAATAACGCCAAAGGTGGTCAGAATATGAGCAAGAACTTTATGCTGTAGTTCATTCATTGAAGCAATGGGAGCATTATATCCTTCTCTAGAATTTTGTTCTTAGTAGCAATCATCAAGCATTGCAATACATCAACAACCAGAAAAAGATTAACAAAATGCACGCTAGATGGATCATGTTTTTATAAAGATTTTCCTTCGTGTTACAACACAATAATAGAGAGGCAGAAGCTCTTAGCCGCACTTTTATTAACTCAATTACAGACTGAACTAATGGGACTTGAATGCTTGAAGGACCTGTATTCATCTGATCCTAATTTTGCCAAAATCTGAGGAAAATATCAGCAGCATGATAGGTCCAATGATTTCACAATACATCTTGGGTTCTTATTTAAAAATGTTATGTTATGTATACCTTAATCAATGTGGAGGCATTTACTGATCACCAAATTACACTATGGAGGATTATCTGCTCATTTGGGACGTGAAAAAACACTCCAACTCCAAGCTCGATTTTACTGGCCACAAATATGATGGGATACCAACATGTTTGCAGAATGATGCTCGGTGTGTCAACAATACAAAGGTGGAGGACAAAATACAGGGCTTTATCTTTCTTTACTGATTCCTAATTCCATTTGGGAAGACCTTAGTTTAGATTTTATCCTTGGTCTTCCCTGCACAAAATCTGTCCATATTTTTATTATGGTAGTTAAAGATAGATTTTCAAAAATGGCCCGCTTTACACCATGTAAGAAGACTTTAGATGCTTTACATATTGTCCAACTATTTTTTCGTGATGTAGTCCAACTCCATGGCATACCACGAAGCTTGACCTTTGACTATGACTTCAAGTTTATCAACCACTTATGGCGTGAACTTTGGAAGCGTCTCTATACTAAATCACAACTCAGTTCCGCATATCATACCCAAACGAATGGACAAACGGAGGTCGTTAATCGTACCTTGGGAAACATGCTCTGCTACCTAGTTCAAGATAAACCAAAGGTGTGGTATGAAGTGTTGGGTCAAGCCGAATTTGCCTACAATCTAATGCCAAATCATTCTACTGGTATTTTTCCATTTGCTGTTGTTTACAATAAATTACCAAAATCTTTTATACATTATAGCGCTGCCAAAATGCTAAACCAAATATGTTGAGGCTTTAGCGGACCGAGCTGCTACAACTATTGAAGAGGTTTGTCGTCATCTCACAGATTCAAATTCTAAATATAAAATGAGTGAATATCGCAAATGCCGTGCTCACCCATTCCAACCAGGAGACTTAGTTCTTATTAAATTGCATCATGAACGTTTTGCACATGATACATATAAAAAATTAAGCAAAAGAAAGATAGGTCTAATTCCTATCGTAAGGAAGATTAATGACAACGCATACATCGTGGATCTCCCACCACATTTGAATACTTTGTCCACTTTCAAGGTCGTCAAAATTTACCCATACTTTCCTCTGGACAACGCACCAGTCACTTCCAAATTGTTGGAATCGAGTTCTTCCATTGATGAGGCACCTGATGCAGAGCATCATAGTAATCTCGTTGTTCTGCAGGACTAGTTTATCTCTTTGGCGTTCCCCACTATAGTTTCTACTCTGCTGTTATAACAACCTTTTCCATCACAACTATCATTTACCTTTTTTAGTTATTATAGTACTAAAGGAATGTGATGAACTTTATTAACCTTTTAGTAGGATGTATAGCAGCATATATAAGCTGCGGACTGATGCAGAGCATCATAGTAATCTCGTTGTTCTGCAGGAGTAGCTTATCTCTTTGGCGTTCCCCACTACAGCTTCTGCTCTACTGTTATAACAACCTTTGCCATCACCACTATCATTTACCTTTTTTTAGTTATTATAGTACTAAAGGAATATGATGAACTTTACTAACATTTTAGTAGGATGTATAGTAGCATATATAAGCTGCGGATTCGGCTTTGGCGAAGATAGAAAAAATTAAATAGAATTTTGGTTTTATAACTTGGAAGAAGAACTTCCTAGCATTTGGCTTCCTTTCTTGTTTTCTTTGTGTAGGTTCTTCAGTGACTACCATGTCAAGATATGTTGCTTGGGATTTTTTTTCTTTTATCTAGTGATGCTTCTTACTTGCTAGTCCGCTCGTGATAAACATTGGATTCCTTACAAAGAAACTTCTATTTTGGGTATAATACCTTATTGTATTCCTTTTAATATGGGGTGATGATGAAAATATATGTGCAGTGCCTTTTTTATCCAACCAAGTGGCATTCGTATTACCTAAGAAGAAATAATTTGAGCATATACACCATGTGTTGATACCTACTGCCATCTTGGAAGGAATTTCTTCTATTTCACTATTTTTTTTTTTGAGATTATGAATGATTTTCTGGTGGGTTATATGAGCCCTGGTTTCTATATTGTTATTATTATTTTCTATTGTTTTTCTAAATATATTTCTAAATACTATATGAGCCTTGGTTTATATAATGAATATCTAAATATATTTCATAATAAATACAACATATATGTAATAAATAAATAGTCTGACATGAATCCTATGTGATATAAATCAACAATAATCTCATCTAGTGTGTGGTATGTTTGGTGTTTATGCTTTGAACAAGGACAATGAAACCACTCATGTGATATCAAGGAGGGTAGTTAATATGTCACCTTGACGAAAAAAAATTCACTCCATTGATGAATTCTTCTGTTGATGCCTCTCATCCAGACAATAATCAATTATAAATCTATTTTTTAAAAAATTTTAAATATCCATATCATATGTGATCTATAAATTCCTACATAAGAACATTGGACTCTAATTACAGTTGAATATTAATAATGGTTTCAGTAAACACGACACAAAAAATGCTGCATTAAGCCTTAAGGAGACTTGAGCAATAAAACACATATTTTATATGTATAAGAAAGTGCTTATAAAGATGACTCTGTTTTGGATGAATAGTTTTGGAGTGATGATCAGTGGAGGATTGGTGGACTTCAACAAGGAATGTGTCTGTACATAGAGAGTCCAATCCGTTTGATCAAGGTATGCAAAGACTCACATGTGCTTTGTCAAGTTGACTCTATTTTGGATGAGTAATTTTGGAGCTTAACCTAGTAGATCATGGACTTCGAAGTGGAATTATTCAAAATCTAGCATATTAAGGGAAGATGAATTAAATGGCCTTGTGCTTTATTAAATTAAGTTGTTCGCATCGTAGAAATAACATGATTATTATGTTCATTATCTTTGATAATTGTTATAGTCTAAGACTTTGATTTTATGAGAGTTCCTTTTGGTGGGCATGAGTTTCGTTTAATAAAGAACCATTACATGAAGCCAAGTGTCTTAATCCTAATCTTTGGAGACCTTTGAATAATCCTAAGAAGTGCATTAGGATGGTTTGATGCCCATTTTGCAATTATTTATATACAGTTGAAATTATCTTTCATTGGTTACAATCTAACTAGAAGTAGTAGGTAGGGAGGTATTTTACATGCTAGGATACTTTTGAGGTATGTAAAGAATTACATGATTTTACTTATTTCTAAAGTGTAGAATTTGAGGAGGCAAACAAAAAAGCTTACAACAAGGCAAATGAAGAGCAACAATTGGCAAAGGAATGGTGGACTTCAACAAGGAATGAGTCCGTGCACAAGAAGAGTCCAATCTGTCCAATCAATAATGACGAATGGTGAATCCGTTTGTATGATCTAGAAAGGAGAACGGAGACAATTGGGATGGATATGGAGGTTGTTACTCCTTTCACTTGAAATTTTTTTTGGAAGTCTATTTCACGTGAATTGATGGAGGAAAGGATTGAATGGTGGTAATAGAGTTTTCACCTATGGACATTTTCACTAGAATATTTAAAACCAACAAAATTTCTAGAGCAAATTTTTGCTGAAACTTTTCGACAGAAATGTCTGCTGAAAATTTCAAAATGAAATATCTATGGCCCTTTCGCCAGTAATAACGGCGGTGATTACCACTGATAAGTTTTGACAAAAAAATTTGTTGAAAATTGCTAGTTTTCTTGTAGTGTAATAAGATATGGATAAAAGGAAAAGTTTTA